GAACGGGAAGGGCCCTCATTTAATACAGCCCTCAGCCGCCAGCTACAGTGCTGACTTAAGTCACTGAAAAGAAAGGAGGGTGTTCTGACTTTGGCCAGGATGGAATAAGCCCACTACTGCCTCTCTCTTGCTGACTGCCAGCAAAACCTATGGACAAAACACAAATACAAACACCTGAGGACTCTGGAGAGTCAACCCAACCCGACAGATTGCAGAGGAGAGTCAAACCTATGGAAGTGGCCGTATAGGGAAGGAGTTTCCCATTTTTCCCCCTTTTTCCTCTTGCAGCCTTGCCCTGAGTATGGGCTACAATATGCAGCACTGTGAGGTGGTGCAGGATGCCAAAACTCCAATAGAAACTCCAGCCTTCTGACCAGAGGAACAGCGGGGGGCCCTGCATTCCCCAAAGAATAGGGGTGAGGGTTGTTGTGGATTTTTTCCTCTTTCTTGTGGCTGTGCCCCAAGGACAGTTCCTAGTCACATGCTGCATGGTGGCAGCAATGCAGGTAGGTAGAACTCTTGACAGAAACCCCATCTTTCTGACCAGAGAACTATAAGGGAAACGAGTCCCTGAAGGCTGGAAAGTGTAAGGATTAAGAGAGGAGGAACCTAGAGAAAAGGATTTCATGATACTGTGTCTAAACCCACATAAATCCCAGGCTCATCCTTGGGCTATGTGGGACAGATTCAAAGCAGGACAGCAAAAGGCTTTAAGAGCTCAACTAAGACTGAATCACTGCCAAGCCTCAGAATACCCCAAGTGGCACATGTGCAGACCAAAAACAGAAAAGAAATTAAACAGCTTTGGAAAGCAAACTGACACTGGAGTCACCACCCACAGAGGGCAAAATAGAACTTGCCATCTGAACCTAACCAGGGTGACTGCCTGTTTAAAAGCAAAACAAAACAAAAGTCATTATTTGAAGGATTACATAACAGGATCCAGAGGGTATCCAACACAACTTCCACAATGTCTAGAATACAATTCAAAATTACTTGACATATTCCAAACCAAAAGCCAAACAGTAAAAGGGAAAAGACAATTAACAGATGTCAACCCTAAGATTAGCCAGTTTGGGAATCCTTAACGACTTTAAAGAAGCTGTGTAGCTATAGTCCACGAGGTAAAGGTAAAATGCACAGGCACAGTAACAGTGACAACCTCAGCAGAGACACAGAAACTATACATATAAAATGAACGGAAATTTTTAACTAAGAAAATATGAAATCTGAAATAAAAAAATCATTGGATAGGCTCAACAGCAGAATGGAGATGACACAGGAAAGAGTCCATAAACCTGAAGTTAGATCAACAGAGATGATGCAGAGATTTGGAAACAAACATGAACAGAGCTTTGGTGACCTGTTGGAAAATTTCATAAGGTTTAACATTTACAGGATTGAGGTCATCAGAAAGGGAGGAGAAAGAGATTATTAGTTCAGAATAACTATATAAGAAAATAATGGCAGGAAACTTACCAAATTTAGTGAAAGACATACATATACAGATTCTAAATGTTTAATAAACTCCAGACAGGGTTTAAATTAAAAAAAAAAAAAAAAGAAAAGAAAAAGATTATTTCCTGCAGACTCTTCCTTAGTGGCTCATCAAGCTTCTCATAAATGTCCCAGTTCCTAAGCTATTAATTCATTGTTGCCTTCAGTGAATATATACTTTCATTTCATTGAAATCACCATTGATTCCAAGAAGCGTCATTACTTTATGTAACTTTTTAAAGTGCTGCCATTTTATGATGCAATTATAAAAGTCCATTCTGATTTCATAGATGTGAAATTTTTTTAAACATACATCTTAGAATGAATAGAAAAATATACTGTGCTAGACACCCACTGAGTACCAGAGTGTGGTAAGTGGAATGGACAGGAGCAGCCAGTCCTAATGCCAACGTGCATCACTCCCCAGTACCATTACTCATTGCTCTTTCTTCTTAGTCTTAGCAAGAAAAGACAAAATATGCATTCAGAAAAACTCATTATCTATACTAATATAACTCTTAGGCAAAATCCCACTTTTCTCTCCATCTCCATGTTTACAATCCTTCCCTCCCAGTGAGGGAAAAGCATATTCTAACAGTAACTCAGTTTCTGCCCCAATCTTTCTCTTGCTCTTCATTAGACTCTGTTTATTCTCTAGTTTTTCTTTATTTTTTGAGATGGAGTCTCACTCTGTCACCAAGGTTGGAGTGCAGTGGTGTGACCTCGGCTACTGCAACCTCTCTCTGCCTCCTGGGTTCAAGCAATTCTCCTGCCACAGCCTCCTGAGTAGCTGGGGTTACAAGCACACGCCACCACACCTGGCTAATTTTTGTATTTTAGTAGACATGGGGTTTCACCATCTGGCCAGGCTGACCTTGAACTCCTGACCTCAAGTGTCTGGTTTTTCTTGAGAGAGTGATAGGCTAGATATTTTTTCATTTTTAATTGAAGCCCATTGTCCCCCATACCCCCAAAATAAAACTCTGCAAAATTCCACCCATGTTTGCAAACTACTTAAAATTGATTCCTTACTTTAATGGAAACATATTTTTGTCTTAATTTGGGGCAGTTTTATGTACCTTTAGAGTCCATTTCATTCCCAAGTTATTTATAAAGCACTAAGAAAATACAGTGGAAATTAAGTTTTTATAATAAAACAGGCAGGTTCTAGGGTTTGTAAAAAATTGCATCAGTCAGTAAGTGACAGCCAAGGACATAGTTCTCTTCATAGTATTTGACCCCTTACTCCCACTTTTGACATAAAACATAAGCTATGCAAGCCTGGGCCAGCATCTCTAAAGAGATCTTACTCATAGCTACCAAGCCTCGGGGGGAAAAAAGTAAGACCTCTCTCCACACTTAGTCTAGCTTCCTCATTCCTTTTTTCTAGATGTGCAATTTTATTAAAACAACAAAAACAGATTTTACCTTGTATTCTAAGCTGCTGACCCAGCCACCTGACTCGGGGAGTATTCTTACACATGATGGCTGGCCCCTAATGTACCAGCAGTGGGCACACAGCTGGCACTGTTCTAGGACTCACAGTGGTTAAATACCAATTTGGATGCCCCACCTCCAACTCGAAGTCACTAGTTTGTTCTTTTCATCCACAGAGATAGAGCATTTCTTAAAAAATGTAACATTGGCTTACTAATAAAATGGACTTCACATGATCAAATTTGGACTGCAAACTGACCAGAGAACCCTGTGACACCAGGCATGGAACCCCTCTCTGGCAGCGCATACATAATGAGGCAGCCTGCTCCAGAGGAAAAGTCAGCTTTACTGAGTGTATACAGTCATCCCTCAGCATCCACGGGGGACTGGTTCCAAGACCCCCTGCGGGTTCCAAACTCCACAGCTGCTCAGGTCCCACTTCACACAGAAAATGGTGTGGTATTTGCATATAACCTACACATAGCCTCCCACAGAAACCATCTCTAGATTACTTATAATACGTAATACAATGCCTACACATCATTTCATTATGGATTCAATACAGTACCTGGCTTGCTGCAAATTCAAGTGTTGCTCTTTGGAACTTTGTAGAATTTTTTTCTTAATATTTTTGTAATTATGCAGAAAGCAGAGGTTTCCTCTCTGCAGGACCCTTATGGTTTCTGGCGAGCCTAGCTGTGACTGAAGCTCTAAACGCGCACACTGCGAGCAAACTCTGAGCTTCACCCACATCCCCAAAAGCCCTCTACATCGCCTTGCCTGGAAACAAAAACCTGCCAGGTCAGTGGATGGAGATGCTAGGAGAGGAGCTTGGAGCCTCTGTATAGCTCAGCTTGAAGACTAAAATGTGGGATTAAAACTACAAACTGACTTGATTCTTTTGCTGTGCCACATGTGGGCCACTTACCAAGCCTGACTTCTAAGGAGAACTAGCCCAGTGCGTGCCCAGACGCACACTGAGGAGTTCAGCCCTCAAACACTGCAGTATCAGCCATTTTAGGAGGCCATGAGGAAAACTGATTATTTTTCTTCCTGATAAAGCATACTCACATGATCTTCTTGCTGTAAGTTGGGGGGTAGCTAGGGGTGAAGGTCAGGAGCTGGAAGTATTACTGGATGAAGTAATTATTTTTGCAAGCTGCTGCAGTGGCAGGACAGAGATCTGGACTCTGGCACAGAGGGGCGCCCGTCTCACGATCTGACACCCGCCTCTGAGCAGCCTGCCACCTGCAGCCTGGGGCCGGGCCCAGGGGAGGGGGCACCAGCAGCCCCTGGCCCTCCGCCATGCCACCTCTCTTTGGGGCACTGGATCAGACACAGCAGATAACTGGCCAAAAAAGAAAAAAAGTGGGGGCAGGGAAGAAAAGGAAAAGAAAAAAACAAGGAGAGAGGAGGCGAGGAGGGGGAAGAAACCTAAAATTTGGACTCAGAGGGTCTTTTCGAACACTTTAATCCTTTCATGCTGATGGTTCCTGGGGCGCCGGGGGCTGGCACGAGCCCCTGTACCGGGAAAATCCGACTCCCTAAGCCAATGTGTTAAAGAGAAGGCTGCTAATCAGCTAAATAGAAACTGGAATCTGTTCACATGAAGTCTCTTTTTCCCTCCATCACCAGAGGGACACCACAGTGTTCTGAAATACACTCTTGACATCATTTGGCAGGCAACCCTATTTTGTTGAACATGATTCATCCCTTAGGTTATTGTTTTTAATATGAGAAAGTGAGCTTTTAAGTGCCAAACAAATTTTGCAGCAGGGGGACAAAAGATATTCCAAGTGGTCTCCCTGGACCTCCTACCAACTGCGTCCACCAAATGGCTTAAAAGAAAACCTTCCCGTGGTGCTTCAGAAATGAAGCAGAGACATAGCTACATCCAACCATTACCTAATACAGGACTTTGTTCTCCGCATCTAGAGTGTTTACGGGATCGGATGAACTCAGGTGGGCAGGGCTGTTGAGAGAGAACCAGGCAGTGTAAGCAGTGCAGTGGGGGGCCTTAGCAGAAGCTGTGGGGCTGCAAGGCAATGCCCTTTCAACTCACGTACCTCCCATCCCTGTTGCCACTGACCATGAGGTTGGGAGGACTGTCGTCGAGGTTGACACACGTGAAGTCACGGAGAACGTTACCCAGCTTCAAGAGGTGGCATCCTGCTTCCAGGCTATACACCAGAATCTGAGAGAGGAAGAGAAATGTGTGGGCCCACAATTCTGTACACCTGGCAGACATCAAACACTTTCATTTCATCGATGGGGAGGGCACTCGGCTCCTAGGAAGATGTTCTGGCAGTTCCTTTCCTGATCTTTTTCAGCTTATTGATTGTATAGGGACATGGCTATTAGCATGCTAGAAAGAAATGCAAAGGAAGATAGAAGGAAATCCCATGAATTCCTCAGACCAAGGTGCTAACTCACAGGCCACAAGGAAAATGCCAAGTGGGGAAATCAGGTATTCTAATTTCTTAAAAAAGAGAAAGACATCCAGAAACTAAGGGCCACTGACTGCTTCTGATTTGGAATGAATGGGAAAGCTTGCAAGGCATCAGGGAACTTGCAGATGAACCAGCATGAGTTCTCATCTGAATTTATATCACAGGAGGGAAAAGAAAGAATAGTACAAAGACCAGGAAGGTGAAGTTTGCATAGTTAGCGACTGGATGCGTTCTGCAGACTGAACTACAAACCGAAACACAAACTCTTACTCCCAAACACTTTTCTGTTCACTCTCTGCTTGCTAATTTTAGGATGCCTTGTTTCATAGGGTTTGGAAGTAAATAAGAAGAGGTACCCCGATTTCCAGACAATGCATCGTTATATTAGAATACCTCTGTGCCTTCTCTCCAGTGGGGGGAAAAAAAAATTAATGTTTTTTTACTAAAAAAGTATTAAATCAATTCAACTTAATTCAAAGACCACTAAATGCTTGCTATGGGTCAGTCACTGTTGCAGGTGCTGAGGATACAGTCTTTGCCCCAAATTCACATTCAGAAGTATCCTCCTCATTAACACAAACACATACCAAGTTCTGAGCACTTTCAATCCTGTTGATCATGTGGTTGATATTTTTAAATTAATGATCTCAAAAGTTTTTGAGGGATTTTTTTAGGGGGGGACGGGGACAGGGTCTCACTCTGTAATCCAGGCTGGAGTGCAGTGGCACCATCAGAGCTCACTGTAGCCTCAAATTCCTGAGCTGAGGTGATTCTCCCACCTCAGCCTCCTGAGTAGCTGGAACTACAGGTATATGCCACCACAGCCCACTGATTTTGTTTTCTTTTTTTTTTTTTAATTAGAGAAGGGGTCTCACTTTGTTTCTGGTCTCAAACTTTTGAGCTCAAGTAATCCTCCTACCTTGGCCTTCCAAAGTGCTGGGATTACAGGCATGAACCACTGTACCCAGCCAAAGGTTTTAATAGTAATATTTTGTAGAAAGATCCCTCAGCAAATACATGGAAATGATGTGTGTTTGTTCTTCTTGTCAACAGTATACAATTTTTACTTTAGTATTAAGAAGTTAATAATAAACATTCTCTACCTTGAAAATCATCAATCTTGTCAACACACATTTCTAACAAGTGAATCTTTGGAAATTTCTAATGGTCAAAGCAGCACTATAATATTAACTATTGCTAACAGTGTCTGGAAGGTAAAAGGACACTTTCCAAATTTAAAATGCCCTCTTAATCCATCAAGCCTCCAGAGAACAATTGCAGTTGAAAAGAAAAATTTCTGACGCAGGAAATTTCAACAATTCGAAAATATAGAAAGTAAAGTTATTATTCCAAGTAAGTATAGAGAAATCACCAAATCTCCTATCCTCAGTGAATAACCTAAAAATTATATAAAATCAGCACCTGGAGGGAGCAAATAAACAGAGCAACCTCACAGTCTATTACAAAAGTAGTATTCTGCACCTACTTATCATTATAGTGTGTTCAAAAATTTGGACTCAATAGTCTCTTGTTTTTAAAATACTTCAACTTCTGCAGCAGGAAGGTAAGGCCTTTAAATCAGTGACATGCTGATGGTAAATCTAAGAACTGAATCTGATACTGAGGAGGTTCATGTGTCTTTTATGTCTTCCAGTTGTTCTTTTTTGACAAGTGGATAAATTAGTTGAGTGATACAGTGAGATATAATCCCTTTCCAAAAAGACTCTCTGCAAATTCATCATAAAGACATCTAAGTTAGTAGTCCAGAGTCAAGTATTTTCTAAAATGTTTAATAATTCAACGAATCAGAACTATCTGAAGAGTACCTTTACCATGACGTTTAGTTAAAGACCACAGAGATTAGAAAACACATTACCCATCTCAAAGGCAGTTCTTTCTATGTTACAAGTCCCTTAACGACCTTTACCATTTCTCCCTCCCTCCCATGCTCTCTCTCTTTTAATAAGGTTGAGCAAATGGGACTTCATTTTATCTGATTGCCATAGACTAGTGAGATTAATTATTCATGCTCACACTCTCCCTCTTGTTAAGACCATGCATTAGACTAATTTTTCTCTTTATTGCCCTAGTTGGGTGAGTCTCAACCCGTGACCACTTGACTCATTCTCAGAGGTGTACAGATATGCTGGAAAACCTACCCCTAACTCCAATCCTGGAGAAAATACTTTGCACTAATGCGGCTGCCAGGTGGAAAGATGATGTTGAGGATGTGTCCTTTTAAGAACCAGGTATAGATTATAGAAGAACTTGAACAGTGATTACACAGCAAATCTCTACAGGGATTAGATGTATCCGTAAGAATTAGCTAAAACAGCCAAACCATGTAGAGACTGGTTGTGTGTTTCACAAAGGTAACTATAGGAAATGCATGACACAGGGAAGAGTTTTTTCTTGTTTGGCTTCCAGGTAGACCTAGAAGGGAATGGGGGGAAAGCAAGCACTATCTTTAAAAAAATTTAACAGAAAGTTCTCTATTCATCTATTTGTTTCCTTAGAGATCTTAAAGTATTTCCATAAATCCTAGTCTTAGAATCTTTACTTGCAATTTTGTCAATGATTCTGATTTATCTGAAATCTATTTCTACAAATCCTTTTCTGATTTCAAGTATAATAATCTTACAACAAATTCTAACATGATAGACTTATATAAAGAAAGTGGTAGCCCTCTGTACACTCATCTCTCAGAAATCACCACTTTTAACAGTGTGATGTATACACTTAGAGACTTTTCTTCTGCACATATGTGTGTATATACATTTTTTTCCTAAATGGGATTATTTTACACCTCTTTTTCCATAAATGTCAGTATCTATAGATGGGTCTTGTTGTTTTTAATGGTTGTATAGGATTTCTCTGTGGATATACAATTCCATATGGGTGGAAAGCTGGACTGTTTCTAATTTTTAGATAAAATAAATAATGCTGTGATTCATCTTCTACACACTAGGCACTGGAACGAACGAGCAGGGACACTGGGTGATGTGTGGAAGTCCCAGCCTGCTGCCAGCTGATGGAGCCCGCCTCTTCCCCAGCTGGGGCCTGACCGCCAGCTGTCCTGCTCCTCCATAGATGGGGCCTGCCTCTCTAAGGAGACCCACCGACCATCTTCTGGCCCTGTACCTCGCAGCTGGTGTCTTAAGCAGCAGGGGCAGCAGTCTAGAGTCAGGAGGGAGACAGCAGCCACAGGCCCAACAACTGGGAGGCACCAGCCACCGCCATGGGCAGGCGGGCCCCGCAGTGTCCAGGTGTGGCCTAGACTGGCTTTCTAGCCAAACTATAAAGGAAAGAGCGGAAAGATGGCTCTTGTCTTGTCCCTGTTGTAGTGGGGTAGGGGGGAGGTGGGGGGGAAGCAGGGTGAGCTCAAGGCAGACCAACTTCCTCCTTCACTCAGTAAGAAACAGATTTATTAACACTGCAAGCTTTTCCTAAATTGGGGGCTACCACCCTCATAGTTAATCATGAACCACTTGGAGACTGAAATCACTGTCAAGAGATTATAGAGCCTTGCCCTCCCAGAATTTTGGTCCTATACTGATGAATGAAGAAAGGAACTCTGTGTTTTCTTTAATTTTACTGAAATACTGAGTCTTCATACTCCAATATCTGCTTTAGGCACTAAACCGACAACCACCACGCCAGAAGCTGGTCAGCTCCCCAGAAGCCCAGCAGCTCAGAAGGGTCGAAAGGCTTCCTTACAAGCATTTTAAACGCTTTTTCAGTTAAAGAGGATTTGTTGGCCGCAATTTAAAAAGGGGAAGTGGCAAAGAGCCAAAGGTTAGGAGGTGCTGTGCTGGGCTGAGCGGAGTCTAAGAGAAGAGGCACAAGAGGAAGATGTGACCACACTTCCTGGAGATGACACCGTCTACCCACTTTCTCTTCTGATCTCTAGTAACCTGTCTCCATCACTGCCTCACACATGTGGCTCTTGTGAGCAGGAAGTTGTGATCAGAAGCCAGACGCTGGACGGCAAGGCAGTTAAACCTCTCTCCTTCTCCGTCCGCTCCAGCGGCCTTTGTGCTCTCTTCTCCGTGACATCCTCAGCACACAGTGCCTGTTCCTCTGGTCAGCGCTGAAAGTCCTCGCTGTCTACGGATGTCACGTGCTGTTCTGACAGGGCCATCCTGATCTGTGCCCTATCTTCTTCTGGCTTTTCCCCAGATCTGTGGTTCTCAGATACTGGAGGGGAGGAGACCGTGACTCTAGCAGGTCAGGGGAGGCTCTGCAGCACTGTTAACAAGCACCACACAACATCACACCACATGCTGTAACACTCTCCTAGGCTTCAACTCTAGGTTTCTGGGTCAAAGATCCTATCATTCATTCATTCATGTAGCAGTTATTAAAGGCCAGCACGTGCCAGCTACAGTGACAGTTATGCATTGCCACATCTCACTAAGTGCCTGCATTTGTGTTTGTAGGTTCACTGATTGGTACACAATGCCAGGCAAATCCAGAGCTTCCCACAGTCTCAGACCCCACAGATATTCAGATGTTGCTTTTAATGCTTAACACCTTCCTTCACTCCTGGATCTTGCTGCTGGTGTGTACAAAGGAACTGCTCCATCCTACCCAAAACAGAAGATGGCTCCACAGCGATCTCCTCATACTATCCAGATGCCAGAGTGCCCCAACTGCATCCAGTCCAACCGTCCCACTTCTGACAACAGGGCCGACAAGAATGTCTGGAAAAGCCTGCCATTTACAAACAGTGACCATGCTGGAT